CCCTAACTCACATTCATACATACATATACTAGGGCCAATTTAGACAGGATCCAAAATATAATACTATTTTGGAAAATCAGGAAGAAAGAGTTAGGGGTTAGGGAGAGAAAATGAATGGAGCAGACGGAGGGGAGCATCTCAAACCTTACAAGCTAATTCATAACGTATGGTTTATATAATATAAATGTGCTACAATATTTCCTACAATATACTATGGTCCTACAAGGAAAAAGATCTGTAAAACAGACGTAGGAATCGAATTGAAGGACTATGAATTATGGTTCCAGACTTAATAGAATAGAGGTGTGATATGTTTATAACCTGGATAATTTATTGTAGCTTTGCAAAGCAATGTATTCACTCAGGCTGAATGAGAGGATACACAACAGTTGGGGCAGTCTTTGTCTACCTTCATTGCAAATATCTTCGGTCACAAACATAATTGGAAAGTGAGAAGCCTAATATAAGTCTCTGTGTTCAAATGTTTGCAATTAAAAGATAAGCATGTGGATCCATTTGTCTTTTTTGATGGGTTTCCAATGGTATTACTCTAACTTTATGTGGCAATAAATTAGAGTGGGGTAATATTAGGTAGCAAATACAGTGTATATATTTTATTAAAATATAGTTAATAGATTCAGGCATTTACTCTTCTGGACATCTCACTTTAGTAGTAGCGATTGCCCTTCCCTGTCACAGTGCAGAATAAAACATGTTTGTGACTACAATTTCCATAATTTCATTAAAGTGGCCTCTAGCAATTTATATTTATTGAATGATTTACGAAACATTTCTGGCATTATGTTCTGCCTTCTTAGTAAAGCGAAAATCATATAATTAAACAGATAAGGAAGTTGCTTACATAAATGGCCATTTTATATGCTCATTAATAAATTGCTCTGCAAAAGTAAACATATGGCTCACATATGGATCATATTGATGTATGCAGTATATGTAGCTAACAGCCATATTGCTCATCTAGTGTGACATTTGAACACATGCTCTTCTTTCTGAACTCATGCAAAAACCCCTGACTGTCATTTTCAGGCCACAAAGAAAGCCAGAGTGATTGTCTAGTCCCAAACTTTATTGGACCCAGAGCAGCTGCAACCTCTGTACTCTGTAGTAAGACCTCAGGGGGGACATAGGATTTATAATTATGATTTATTTTAAGGCTGTAGTCTGGTAGTCGCCAAACTAAAAGGATCTAGGAAACCATAACTGACAGAGTTAAACAAGACATAAATAATTTCCTTTTTACATACGTATTATTGGATTACAACATAAATATGTAACATTTTAGGCTCTTCTATATCTGTTACTTATTACAACCCCATGTTGTGGTTCTGTGGCAGTCAGGGTTTCCTGCTAATATGCAACCCAAGCTGTAAAGAGAACACTGTGGTGTATGTGCAAATGCTTGGGTTTGCCCAGCTGTACATATGCTGCTAGGCCTGCATTCTCAGCATAGCTGGCCATAAATTTACACTATGATAATCTCAGCAAACAAAATCTATCTTTTATACTGTAAATGATTATGTAAGTCAAAATGCATCTGTAATGTAACAAAATGTAAACTGAAGCACCACAACATTGCTAAAAGGTCTAGATATGACTTTATTCCAATAAAGGTCAGGGGGACAATTGAAAGATTAGTAAATGCATTTTGGGGTCCAAAACTGTCCCCTTCATCAGGGCTCAAGATTGAAAACAACATAAATGGACTAGAAGTGAACTGGACCTTTACTGGTATTTCTTCCAGCTTGATTACAAGCACAGGTCTTGTCAACAGCTGGTTTATCAACCTTGCAATGCTTATATAAATCAAAATGCATCTGTAGCCAAATTATCATGGATTGGGATGACCCATTGTGGCTCCAGAAGTGGAAGATTTTGCAAGCCTTCAACATATACACAGTTGTGGGTGGGGCTTGACATACCCAGTTGGGGACTCACTAATAGCACTCTCTAATGTCTGCATTCATTGGCCTGTTCTAGTTTGCACAGTTAACCCTTTTTGTACATCCCTCTTTTTTATTGCGCACACCTCATATCTGGCTGCTTTGTATCTTCTCCTAATGGATGCTGCCATTTCGAGTGGGTACCACTGAGCCTGTACCTGCACTACACCTGCACAGCCCAACTTGTGACCTCACTCCTAGTGACAATACGAGACTTCTCCCTGACACAAGAGATCATCTCTTCACATGTTCTCGAGCTTCTTCACTCCCAAGGCATCTCATTCTCTCTCTCTACTCCTCTTCATGGGATACCTTGTGCCGCGATATCATTCCTTTATATGTGGACACCAGTCGCTAGGGAGAGGATCAAGCTCGCAACACCCCCTCACTATCAGGATCTTCTGTCAGCCAAAGCATGCCACTATGACTCCCGCTGACTGGCTGCTTAAGCACCAGACATTACTCTCATTACACTTTGCAACAACATTATAGCCTCTACTCCCTCCGCTGCCTATTAGACCTTGGTATTGTCTCTTTACTAACTTCTCTTCATACCCATTCTAAGCCCTGTTCTTATATATGCCATGCATGTACCCCTTTTTAAATACTTCAGACCAGGCACATTTTGGAGCTTCTAAAGCTAGGTTGTCTCCATTTGTATTTATAGCATGTTGCAAGAGGGCAGAGCCATGCCTCTCCTATTCTACACCTCATACCCTGAGTTTGTCCATTCCACCCTTCCTATCTGCCTGACCCATTCTACCATCAGCCCATAGGGCTGCAACTTACATACAGTAATTAGTTTCTTCTCAGAAGCTGCACATAGGATTGAGGTCAGGGGCAGTCATGAACTTGCTGCACTGGTAAGTAGAGAAAGTCCGATTGTTTCAGAATTTCATTTTATTTGTTGCCTAGAGTTGCTCTTCAACTGATGGATCTTACCAATGATTCTTCCTAATAAACTAAAATGTTTAATTTTAGATTGTTTGTACGTTATGAAAAGAGGTAAATACACATTTAAATTCTGTTTATCTGTTTACTGATTTACATGAAAATTGTGTAATGTTTGACTAACCATTCTTCTGAAACCCACACCTCACTTGTGTAAGGCAGTATATTTCACTTTTTTGTATGTAAAGAAGGCCCTTAGTTTCTCACTAAATTATCTAAGATGGGAATTTCCCTAATTTTGGAGAATATTTTTTCCTCTTCCTTCTTTGAACAGAACGTGAAGGGACAAGGCCAGCAAAACCACACTGTGTCTGTTTCTGCTTGTTGTACAGAGGTGACAATGCTGATTCACTGTCCAAAGAAGAGCTGGAGGTGGAGGGGTGACACAGGAAGCTGAACTGCTGAATCAGTACATGGTTTCATGGATTAGAAACTGTTGGCAATCCACTTGGCTGTGCAGGATGGAAAATGTATGCAAATCATAAAGCTGGCTATATAGATTACAGACCCCTAGGCAGGTGATAAAATAAACATACAGTACATATTTCAACTTTCAATGTAGCTGTTTAACTAGAGTTTTGTTTTGAATAAATAAATAATTTCCACAGCCCTACAAGTACCAGTAAATAGACATGTGCACGTGGAATTTTTTGTTTCATTTCGGATGCATTTGTGCATTGAAAAAATTTGTTTCACCATATTGTTATGTTGAACTGATTCAGTTTCGGAATCATTTTTTATCTTCAGCATTCGTTTTGCATATTTGTTGGTCTGGGTGGATTTGAAAAATGTTGCAGTTTTTCCAGATTATTGCCATAAATTACATATATTATCCAATCCTATGGATTTGAATAGGAAGGATTCTCTATTTTCAGATGCTAGTCCTACCCACCAAGAGAAATGGCATGAGTTGATTGGACAATATTGACTGGCATTATGTGCATATGAGTTAACAAATGGAATGAAATTCAGATCCATTCGTTATCCGAATACGAATTATCAAACAAATCCAAAAATTGAATTCATTTCTCCATGGGCCTGAACTATTATTGCATCATGTGACATCATCAAAATGTAATTAACGCATTAGTTTCTTATAACTTTTTTCCAGATATGGCTCATTTGTATCTGCAGATGGTCACTAATGACCGGTGGTGTATGATGTTCCACTTGTACTTAAGATCTGCACTGGTAGTACCCTCTCTTGTAGCACATTAGTCAGGCTCTCCTTCAGGTGTTGAGGGCCATCTGCAGTCACAGTGTTCGGCCACCCTTAGGTATATGGCAATAAGTTTTGGTATACTTTTGCTCTCTGCCTTGATCAGAGACTGTTTTGAGTGGAGAATTCTAGAGTGATTTCACTCCACCCACTGTGGTGTTATTGGCCATTTGGCCCGCATTCTCTCAGGTTGGATTGGTCGCTGCCATTGCACATTTAATACATCCGGTCATGGCAGGAGTCAGGGGGTTTAGATGGTGGGGTGATCCTGGCTTTCTGAGAAGGTACAGGAGTTGCAGCAGGTGGGTGTTCAGGGGGGTGTCTATGGAGGGGGTCCGACTGGGTTTAGTGGGCACTGATTCAAATTTTCATTTGTTATTTATTCTTTTTGCTCTAATATTTTAATACCGTAATAAATTATTCTTGGACAGTAGTTGTTGTGTTGTCCATGTCTTTTTCTTGTCTCTTTTTTGGTATAAATGTTTTTGGTGACACCCATCCGCTTACGCTGTGGATTGAATCGCCACATGTTTTATTGGTGGGATTCCCTTTGATCCATCATTTTTTGTTTTTTGAATATTCGTTACTATGTCCTTTCAGAGATTCATGTACATCATAATCTCTGAAAATGACATTTTTGTCCAAGAAATGAACCGTAATGATAGGAAATGCACATGTCTACCAGTAAATCGGGGCAGATTGCAAAGTGTGAATTGGGGAAAAGTGCTTACTATTATCTTTACAATCATTTGTAAAAAGGAGAATGACTGACACAGTGATTGCCATGTATACTGTTTCTTATGCTTGTATACTGTACATGTGAAAACACCTCTTCATGCACTATTCTCCCATAACTGGCAAAGTCATACCTGCTAGAGATGATATGTTGATTATAACACCTCCTTGACCTCCGTTCTTCTTGTTCATGAGTTCTAGGCCAATGTATGTTCCTCTAATAACTGAAATCTGAAATAGAAAATGTGAGAATGAAATTGCTATACATCCATCATAGATTCCTTTCTAGTGCCATTTCCAGTACAGAACCTGCAATCAGAGATTGCCTACAGAGCACAGCAAGTTAAAAACTTTACTGATTGAAAACTAAGCCTCTAAAGACCCATAAGAGGAACATTACACATAAATACAATCGCCCCTGGCAAGATGCCTATTAAGATAGAAATAACCTATAGGATCTTAAGACCCTATTTCAGGCATAATGGAGTATGTGTGCATTATTTATGTACAGTTACTGAAATAGTAACTCATAGAATCAGCTATTAAAGCGTTATATTGCCGAAATAGAGCTGACTTTACTACTGTCCACTAGGAGCAAAACATTTATACAATTTGCTATACCACCCCAGCCCCTGCTGTATGCTTACAAAATTATATTGTAAAAAAAATATATATATAGTATTACAGCAACAAAGTCTTGCAGAGTTAATAGGGTTGTTATTAGTTAGTATACTGTCTTAAGCGGGATATACACCTTCAGTTTTTTTTTCTTTCAACCAGGGTTTGAATTTAAAAAAAAAAAGGATAAATCCCTGCATCAACACAAGATTTGTGTATGCAGGGATCTTTCCTGCTGTGTCTTTGTCAGGGGGGACTCAGGGGACCCCCCCTGCCTTCATCACCAGAATACACAGATCAGCCTGCAAATGGCTGCAAGTGCTGATCGAATGCTGGACTGCCTTCTGTTGAACAGTCAGCAGTACACAGGACTGATTTTCAGCCCATGCACACCCTACTTTAGACACAGGACCATCTAGGACTCTGAGAGGATTTCCCCCCCACTTCCTTGTAAAGAAGAACTGAATATGTGGGAAAATTTCTCCAATAGAACTTCATATAGCAGTAAAATGTTACACTGATTTTAACTCTTCCCCATTCTATGCAAAAATAAACAAAAAGGTTTTGGCTACAAATACAATTTACTAAAGTTTAAACTATAAGATCTTTTGGACTCATCTCAAATCCACTTAATATTATAAGTCAGCAGCTACAAATACTACAAAGGCTTTCTTTTATTTGAGAAATGACAGTAGTTCCTGTTTAACCATCATTATTCCCTAGCATTGTTTCTTCTGAAAATTCTGCCAACAATTTATTCTTTTCAAGTTTAGTGCTAAATTTCAATAGGGTTTACTTGTAGTATAGCTACTGAGATGAGGACCCTGCTGCAAATGTAATTTCAATCTAGTGCATGTTGACTACTGCGGTGCCACCCACTTTAATTTAATGAGCCAGTGGACTCTAATGCAAATAATGTAGAGAACATCAAGCTGGATCCTCTAAAATACAGCAACCTGCATAGGGATGAGCAGAATGATTTTAATGAAATTGATTTGGCTACAAAATTGCAGATTTCTCTGTTGGTGAAAACTGTCTGAAGTGGAAATACAAAGCCCATTAAGTAATTACCATTAACAGAGCCTAGCTTAACGAAATACTTAAATTGTTTGTTCAGGGATGTGCACAAGAGCCTTATCTCTCTGGGAATTCTCCCTCCTCATTGGCTAAGACATTGGCTCCTGCTGCTGTCAATCACAAGAGAGAGGCGGGGCCGAGCTGGGGTTCTGTGTGAATAGACGTACAGAGCAGCGGCTCGGGATTGAGCTTGCTTGGGTGCCCCAGAGCTGCTTGCTGGCAAGGGGCCAGAGGAAGATGGAGCTGCTTTGTGCAAAACCACTGCACAGAGCAGGTAAGTATAACCTGCCTTTAATATCACTTTAATGCATCCTTAATTCAAGCAGTGTAAGAACCTAAATATGACTTTGTAGGAGCCTCTTGCAGTCCCTGTACAGTTGAACACAGACTGGGGGAGGGAAAAGCAGAACAAGGAGCCAAACAGTTGTGCTGCAGTGCAAGAAGCATGCTGTTAGAAGATGAGAGAGGAGTGACATAGCGATGATCTCATCAATGTGCAGTCACAAGGCAGGGGCTGTGATCTCTATGATCGCAGGAGTGAGGTGGAGATCTGTAGTTTTACTTAACTGCAGCAAGGAAAAAATCAGGTGTACTTTCTCGCCAGACAGAGCTGTGCTGTCCAGAAAATATCATGAACAGGTGAAGAGAAATGCAAATCATTTGGCGGTAATAAGATTTCTCATTTAGGCATTTCATCTGTTTGCCTGGAGTGCTTCCCCTTTAACATAAGGATATGGTTCCTTTTCTGATTTGTTTGCTTTGTGAATTGAGCCTAATCCCACCACAGCCGTCACACGGGATTAAATCATCTACATCAACACCCTGTTTTCTGGAAACTTGCAGGTCATAATGGCATGTGTGAGAGTGACTATTAAAGTTCACCCATACCTACAGTATATACTATGCTAACTTATTTTGTGTTTCTCTGTCCAGGATAACAAATGTTGAAAGGTGTTTTCATGATATTTGTGTTCAAAATGTTATTACAAAACCAAAGTAGACCATGCAGCCCCTCAAAGGTATCCATGTATGTATATATCCCAATTTCCCACGATCAAACTTAACACACAGGATACAAAATATTCTTGTGAAGTTATCACTACTCAGTCACATCTGTCACAGTCTTTGCCCAGAATTGATAATTCCTTACATGTCTGAGCAGAATTTTTTTGGTGTGGTATCTTTGTTGACACAGTGATTTACGTATTTCTTCATGACAACACACAGATCATTTTTTCTTTCTTTTGGGAATGCTGTCTGTGTAAAAGGTAACATTCCAAGGAAAAGAACATATACTGTACTTTATCCAGAGTGCAAAAAGATGTATTCATTAAATCACACTTGGCATTTTAATCTAGAGGATATCCTTTCGGAACAAGGATATAAAGTTGAAAAATGTTACAGGGCTGTTATAATTTATACAAAATCCAGTAAAGCCATAATTTTCTTTTTTATCATAATTTTGACAAATTCCAGTGACACTATAATGTTGCACAAACATGTTTTTTTAATACAGCACAACTTCTTCTTCTATTCACAATACTGTGCTGTCTGTCGTACTGAAGGGGTTTGGCCAATCAGGTTCCATCAGAGGCTTCTTCTCTAATTAATGAAGGGACACATGTTTCAGTTCCTGATAGACAATTGGGTAAAAATGCTGCCTACATGAAGATTTGGACACTGGCAAACAAAAAAAAAAAAACAATGGCCAGGCAGGTATAACCCCACCCATTACCAGGATCCTGCAGTTTTTACCAGTGTCCCAGGAAGATATATATATTTTCTATACTGAGAAAAGTTTATCTATTTATAACACTGTTCAACAGGTAAAAAGTTTTGGCATAAAATTGCTAATCTGACATAATTTTGGGGTGCTGAAAACGAAGATGACCCTAAAAAATGTTGATTGGCTCTAGTTTCCATGATATATTACCCATCTAATGACGTAAGCCATTCAAAATTTGATGCAACTTCAGCTGCATAATTGCGCACTGGTGACCAATAGAAAATTGCATGTATACTGAGATGATGCAATATTAGCCTTTAAATTGCATCACTTCACTGCATAAAAGCTGCAGTATCTGTAGCTGATTGTAGTTCGACAGCGTCTTTACATTTCGTTTTATGCTTATATAGGCTACTCAGTAATGCCTCGAACTTGTGTGAATAAAGCAGATAATTTCTGCTATATCTGCGGTGAAATAACTTTTATCTCACAAAAAGGAGGATAACAGGAATGATTAAGAAAGTCTACAACTTGTATTTTTGGCTGCAAGATAGGAGACCAGGACAAGAGCTGGGCACCACATATATGCTGCAATTCTTGTGGGACGGCAATGGAGCAATGGTTGAATGGAAAAAAAGGCATCTATGCCTTTCGCTTGCCAATGATTTGGAGAGAGACAGATCATGTTAGTAATTGTTACTTTTGTATGGTGACAATTGTAAAAGGGCTAAATAAGAAGAAAAAGTTATCTGTGCACTATCCAAATATTCCATCGGCAATACGTCCAGTTCCTCATGGAGAGGGGCTACCAATTCCTAAAGCACCAGAATCCTTCGTGGTTGAGTCAAGTGAGGAAGAACCTGAAGCGTGTAGTCACGTGCAGTTGTAAGAGATAGCCCTTTCCTCGAATACAAGAGAAAAGCCAAGAGCCAAAGCAAAACTGACACAAACTGAAGACAAAACTAGTGAGAATCCTAAGTATTAAAATGATTCAACTTAGGCTTATGGCTATAATTTTTCTTGGTAATCCTATGCAATATATTATGCCATTTAGGCTTTGTTATGTAGTCAATATCACTTGCTTTATATTTTGGAAAGACAGCTATCTATATAATTATTGTGCATTAATCATTATGCCTATAGTAGAAAACTTTCCGTTTACAGAAAAACTAGAGCCAATTGATAAATTTCATTGTTATATTTGAACTCAGAATGTGAAATTCATTTGATCCTTTTGTTTCCAAAACTGTCTTGTTGAACAGTGTAATAGCCATTTTCTCTTTTTTAGGATTATTTTTTTCTTCAATCAAGAGCCCATCTACATGTTTCTGAGCCAAGCTCTTTATGCAGGCTTGGCATATCTCTTGGCAATAGCTTAGAAGCCGTACCTGGACACCATTGCACAAAAGATTGTGGAGTCTGTCTGCAATATAACCTTAAGGCACTGGGCTCTGCTTGGAGCACTTCCAGACCTTTGTGTACTCTGCTAGCTAGCTGTTGTGACTAAGTCTCAGTATTCTGTGTGAGATGATCCTCAGGGACTACTATATTTATTGGAAATCTTTAAGCATCACTATTCCCCTTTTGCAGCTGGTTTCCACAGAAAAAGGTTAACATGCTGAGTTATTAAGTGTAGTGTCACTAGCTTGAGTGTAGTGAGTACACTCTGTTCCCAACTTTTTTACATGGGGTACCATATTCCCACAACTGCTTCTGTTTGAAAGAAAAACACAGCATCAGTTCCTTTAGCCCATTGCTGCAACTGGTTTGTGAGTACCCACAGTTTTTACCTGTTCACAATTAAGTGGTG